AGACAAGAAACACATCTTCTTCGTGGTAACCAGGCGCTGCTGCTATCTGCCCTGCACTATCTTTACAAACGAGGGTTGGAGTCGCCACTCTAAATCCCTAGCCTTTTGTGAAATGGTTTTATGTATGAGATTAAAGCCTTTTAAGCTATCTTCCCCCTAGGAAAGCACCCAAGAGCAGAGAACAAAATATAGTAAGATAGCGCCCAAAACAAATTTTGATCAAGCACTTATGCTGCTACATTAAAAATTGCCCCAATTTTACCATGATTAAAAAAAAATGTCTCAGAAAATGATTTTAAGAATATGAGAATTGAAGTTTTTGAGGGCCTCAACCTCCAACATGGTCAAATTTTGCCTCAGGGCCCTGGTACTCAAAGTTCGGTCCAAAGAACCATCATGTCAACATCCATGTCAACATCACTGGGAACTTGTTAAGACACTCAGACCCCACCCCAGACCTACTGCAGTTAAGAAGATGCCCAGATAATTTGAATGCATGTTAAATTTGAGAAGCACTTTTAAAGAACACTTTTTTTTGAAAGAGAGAACTCACGAAAGAGAGCACACGTGCAAACTGGGGATAGGGGCAGAGAGAGAGGGAGAAAGAGAATCCCAAGCAGGCTCCATGCTCATCGACCGAAGGCTTGATTCCACGACCCCAGAATCATGACGTGAGTCAAAATCAAGAGTTGGATGCTCAACCGACTGAGCCACCCAGGTGCCCAAGAAGCACTTCTTTTTTTCTTTAGCATAAGCTCTATGTGCAGTGTGAGACTTGAACTCACAACTCCAAAAACTAGAGTCACACACTCTACTGATGAAGCTGGACAGGCTCCCCAAGAAGCACTCTCTTAAAGCAGTGGCATGAACCCTGGCTTACACGTTTGAATATCCTAGGAGCTTGAAAACAATATGGACGCCCAGGCCCCATCCCCAAAGATTCTGATTCATGTTGGTCAAGGGTAAGGACTGACCAATGGAATTAACAGCTCTCCAATGACTCTATGTGCAGCCAGAGATGAGAACTGACCTAAAGTTTCCAAAACTTCCTTCTAACAAGGCAGAGGTGCTAAAACGCTAAGATTTGAGGTCTTCAAAATCCATGCTTCTTAACAAAGCATTCTATGTTATGATTAAATCCAAAACCTGGTTAGCTCCTGGGAAACAGGGATACATTAAATAAATTCTTTTTTGGCATCATGTAGGCCAATTTCAAGAGCAATTATATATCTTGGGATAGGCAGCTAAACAACAAAAACATGCTGATCAATTGAGGTCTTTTTTCCCCCTAAGTAAGCTCTAAGCCCAACCTGGGGTTTGAACTCAGGCCCTGAGATCAAGAGTCTCATGCTTTACTGACTGAGCCAGGCTGGCATCCCAGGGTCTTGTTCTTAAATGCATCATAGTATTGCCTATCCCACCCTCTCTCATGTTCTCACTTCCCTGCATGGGTCACACAGCAGCATGCTAAAAAGGCCCAATATTGTGGTTATTAAAATAGGCAAAAGAGGCAGACTGGCCCTGCCACCACCTGATGTGTTCAGGCTATAAATGCAGCTTTCAAAGCTAATCTCCACAGTGCTGATGAGTCATTTCCTGAAGTTGTGAGCATATAGCCAGCTGGTTAAAAACATACTGTGTTATCTAAATTCCAAGATGCTTCTGAATCTGACCTCTGGTTTTCTGTGTTTCCAGAAGACCAACAGTCCCCATGACAAGAAGTATGGAGCCTGATGTTCACTTTAGTGATGCTGCCAGGGGTGGTTCATAGCAGCTGGCTGCAAAACAGACCTCACACAAAGCTTACTAACTTCTAAGCCACACTGGACCTGCTGCCTTGAGTCAGTTGCCATTGCTGTAAGGTGCTGACCCCCTCAGCTGTGAGGCTGCCAGAAACTCAATGTGGTGGCTTGTAGCTGTGAACCAACTGTTCGCCCTTATAAGTGCTTTCTAATTATGGCTAATTTCTTTTTTTTTTTTTAAGATAGATTTATCTGTCTTTATATATATATGTATATAGCACGTGCAGGGGAGGGGCAGAGAGAGGGAGAGACAGAGATCCCAAGCAGGCTCCTCACTGTCAGTGCAGAACACGATGAGGGGCTTGAACTCACGAATCGCGAGATCATGACCTGAACAGAAACCAACAGATGCTCAACGGACTGAGCCACCCAGGCGCCCCTGAATATGATTGATTTCTGTCTTCTTGAAGGCAATAAAGTTGGCAAATCTTGCATAAGAGCAGGGTTCTCAAGCTTCTTCGGTTGAGGATACCTTGATACACTTAAGAATTACTGAGGACCCTGAAGATTTTTCACTTAAGTAAGTTATATCCAGTGGTGTGTTGGAGTCAGCTTGTATCAGAATTCAATACTCAGGAATTTTTGAAGCCAACTGTTAAACCACTGGAAGCTTGAAACTGGCAGCTGAGAGGGGCATTTACACTATGGAAACAGGCAAATGCTACAAATCTGGGCCTTTTTTCTTTCTCTGGAGATCAACAGCAAACCACTGATTCTACCCACCAACATTTACCATATTAGACATTAAAATGGAGAACGTTTGAAAAGATTTCTTTCACTTGGAAATAACAATAAATCTGTGACATATTGGGGCGCCTGGGTGGCGCAGTCGGTTAAGCGTCCTACTTCAGCCAGGTCACGATCTCGCGGTCCGTGAGTTCGAGCCTCGCGTCGGGCTCTGGGCTGATGGCTCAGAGCCTGGAGCCTGTTTCCGATGCTGTGTCTCCCTCTCTCTCTCTGCCCCTTCCCCGTTCATGCTCTGTCTCTCTCTGTCCCAAAAATAAATAAACGTTGAAAAAAAAAAATTAAAAAAAAAATCTGTGACATATTTTTTTTAAATTTTCTTCCCCAAACAATTATTGATTTTCTGAGGAGAGTTGCACTGTTTTCTGTTTTTGTAAACTTCTTTAATGGCTGGTTTGATAGACAGTCAGATTTTCTTAACTGTCTCTGCTTTCAGGCTGTTGCAATATCATGTGTCATGCAGCCTCCAGAAAACTCAACTGTATGGTAGTGAGAAAACCAGAGCAGGAAAAGGCAAGTAACATCGTTAGTGTTTTAAGATAGGTTTGACTTCATACATCCCCTAAAAGGTCTCAAGGACTCAGAATCACTGCCTTGAAGCATTTCTTCTCTCTGTGTGCACTGTGGCTTACTTAACCACACCTCGCTCATAAAACACAGGTTGATCCTGTGGTCAGTTACTCTCTACACACATTTGGTCTAGTAATGTTGCCAGAAACAGCCACCCAGCGATGTCACTTCTGCCAGGAAATTACTGTTAATGACTGTTTTCCCGCTTAATTTTTATGACACCTGGGGGAAGATAAGCTTCTAGTGGAGGGTCCAGGCCTCACACACTTAAAAAGCTTGGTCATAAACACTGCTTAACTTTTTCCACTTGCTCGCAGAGCTCAAGACTTCCTAAAGGATATGCCAACATTTAAAACGATTTCTTACGTTCATAAGTATAACCTCAAATTTTCCACATTTATATTCAACAGGCAAATATTCAATTTCCTTAAAAATCCTATTTTTGACTAGGTGGAAAAAACAAACATTTTTCCATTAAGAAAATTCAGGGGCGCCTGGGTGGCTCAGTCAGCTAAGCATCCGACTCTTGGTTTTGGTTCAGGTCATGTTCTCACGGTTTTGGGAGTTCGAGCTCCACATGGGGCTCTGCACTGACAGTGCAGAGCCTGCTTGGGATTCTCTGTCTCCCTCTCTGCCTCTGCCCCACTCACACTCTGTCTCTCTCGAAATAAACTCAAAAATTTTTTTAAAAAAGAGAATTCAAATGTGTTGTTTTGACTTCAAACATATTTTGACAAATAACAACAATAGAGTTTAAAGGTCACTTTCTGTTTAGGGTAGGCATCCTATTTCTGGTGGCCATGAGCTGGGCCTACTTCAACATACCCAATCCTGAAACATTTGTGGAGCATGTGGGCCTCAGAAACTTAAGCCTGTATATTAACTTAAAAATTCTGTGTCTTAACAGAATTCTTATTCAGTTGAAAACAATTTTTGTTGACAATGAATGTAGAAATATGTTACTAGAATTTTTCTTGCTGATTTTCACCTCCTAGAGGTAGTATTTTGCTTTTAATTCTCTCTCCTGCCTCCTTGCCCCCTGCCCCAGGGAGCATTACATGGCAAAGGACTGTCACTCAAGGGCAATCCTTCTTGGGGTTTCGATATACCCTACTGGCTCTGACATTTCATTGCTTTCTGTCTTCATTAGGAAAGAACTGCAGATTCTGTTCGTGATGCCTACAACCCAGGAATCTGAACATATTCTCAATGGTACAACCTTCCATTCTCTTAAGAAGGAATTAAAAAAAAAAAAAAAGATACAGAAAGTTCATCATCCAATTCCTTTGTTCTTTCAGATCCATTCTCCATGCTCCAAGAAGCAAACCTTTATGCACTGGGCCACCCAGGTTTCCTTGACCTCTGAGTTTAGGTTAAGACCAGAAGCAAGACGAGGAGGTACCACGATTGAGTCGTCAGAGGGTTGAGGGAAAGGTCAGAGTATTCCCTCCTCCACCGCCTTTAGACCTGGGGGTGTAAAGGCACCCTCGAACTGCTAGCCCCTGGGGTGCTTCATCATCCCCTGTGGGTTCCCTTGACCCTGTCCACATCAATGCACATTGCCTCTTCATTAAATTTTTTTTTTTCAACGTTTATTTATTTTTGGGACAGAGAGAGACAGAGCATGAACGGGGGAGGGGCAGAGAGAGAGGGAGACACAGAATCGGAAACAGGCTCCAGGCTCTGAGCCATCAGCCCAGAGCCCGACGCGGGGCTCGAACTCACGGACCGCGAGATCATGACCTGGCTGAAGTCGGACGCTCAACCGACTGCGCCACCCAGGCGCCCCCATCGCCTCTTCATTAAATACTGTTCAGCTAAGCCCTAAGACTGGCCTTCCTGCCAGGACCCTGGTAGATACAGTCAAAATTTATTCCAAACAAATACCAAGCAAACTTTGATGTTTATTAATATGTTATATACATTTTTTTAAAAACAGAAAACATAAAAACAATGACATAAGTACACAATGATAACATAGTAATGATAGTCATATAAAGTCAGAGGTATATTAATATTTCAGACTGAATAAACAATCTCCACTGAGTTGAATAAAATATAGTAACTAAGTTAATAAAACCCATGCTAAAAAAATAAAATCGATGTTAGCTTATCCTTACATTATGCTCTTTCATGTAAATTATTCTATGGCATTTGGAAAGCGTTTGCTCTTTTGAAAAGGTAAACATTTGCCTTGAAACTGTTTTATTTTTTTGTTTAAAAGGCCAACATTGCTCCATAAGGAAAAAATATACATTTCAAAGTAATTTTCAAATTATTTTCTCAAATCCATGAGGATTTCCTGTACTTGATACGAATCATGGGGTTAAAAAATGCTTTTAAAATCATCTCATTAACTCTTAAAAAAAGTAAATGGAAAAAAAAGAATAATTTTCCTAGATTCCAAAGTCAGTTTTAATTTCTCCTATTATTTCTCATCAAACTAGCATAAATGATTCTTTAAAAATTTTTAAATTCTGAATACATTTGTAAATAAATAGTGTTCAACCAGCATAGAACGGAAGACTTGTTTTTTAAAAATGTAATTCCTGTATTGTGCTATGTTTTCATCTGAAGTTATAACCATTGGAAACAGTAGCCCAAAATGTTCAAAGTTCTTCAACTGACGATCCTTGCTATGAAACTTGCATGGTTACACTGGGCTAAAAAAGCTTCTTTAGATAAGGACATATTTACTTATCATACACATACCACACCCTGTACTGGTCTACTTCGTTCTTTTTGAGGGCAGGTCTCGGTCGCAGTCAACTCTGTATGCCCAGCACCCATCATTGTGCCCAGAGCACACAACGTGTGTTCATGTTTGCTCCATGAGTGTTTCCATCTGAGAATGGTCCTTGTGAGATAATTGCCGGAAGTGAATGGGACCTCCTTCTCTATTCTTAAAACGGGCAGAAAAAAGTCTTTTACGTTCATTATCTCCTGGGATAGTATAACCTACTTTGCCAAATTCTAATAGACAAGAGAGCTCACAGCCAGCCCTTGTGGGAACCGCAGGAGGAGAAAGTAACGGTGGTGGCCCTGGTTCTGATCTCTGGGAGGCTCAGCTGGAGGGTTTGTGACCAGTCCGTGTCTGAAATGGCCCTGCTTTGTATCTATTGCTTGGAGTCCTCCATCCGGGGCAGGCTGCTTTGAAAGCCAACCTAAGGTCACTCGTGGGACCTATGCTCATTCTTGCTTTACATACAGAGGGCGTGAGACATCTATCTGTTTTCATAATCTAAAGAATTCAAACTTTGATACGTTTAAAGTGAAAAACAGTAGAACCTTTTCTACACACAGATAGTGCTAAGTCTTATCCCTTAATAACTTAAACATTGCTGTTGAACAATTTCAAAACACATTTATTTGCAAAAGCCGTATGAGTCCAAACCACGGAATCCCTCCCTATTGATGAACATCTTCAGACGTTCATCCACCAACCTAAACTTTGCACATAAAATCAGAAAACTAGGGTTTATTTCCTAGGGGGCAAAAAGACAGGGTTTCAAAGTGCCTATTCTATACTGCACGCAAAATGATACAAATACGTGTGCGTGTATGTATGCACATACACACATACATAGTAAGTCACATAAATATATAAAAAAATGACATTCAGTTATTACTGTAGCACTGGCAATACTCTTGGAATAACACTGTTTTCTATTCTTGTTATCTTTTCCTATAACTAATAGATATGATTAATGGCTCTCATAAGAAAGAGGCATGCAAATTATAGATGTGTTGCTTTTGATCACAAATACCTTTTTGGCAAGGAATAATAGAATCCTCAGGTTACTCACTTTTTTAATCTTTTCTTTTCAACTAACTGGCAGTCCCTTTTCCTAAGTTAAGAGCTTTTTGTATATGCTATTACTGAGGTTACTAGAGCAAGTATCCACTTTACTTGCCATCAACTGACCACTGCTGTTATAGCTGCTGGGATCAGAACTTTCTTTGCAGCATAGGATACTGTAGAGGTACCTCTGGCACTCAGAGGAAGCATAATAGTAAATCAAGGGATCAATGCAACAGCTTATGCTGCTAACACAGACACACAGGAGGTAGGCAAAGTAGGTGGCTTCTGCCATGGAATCTTGAGAAAGGAATGAGTAATGCACAATCAGGAGGACATTTGTGGGTCCAAAGCAAATGATGAAGATGCAGAAAACAGCAAGCGACAAGAACAAAGCCCGGGACTTCTTGCTCCGGTTGGCAACGGCGGAGGAGCTAAGACATCGAATGATAGACACGTAACAGATTGTGGAAATGATTAGCGGTACAAAGAAGAAGACAGCAGAAAAGGCTGAGAAGTAAAAGGCATAATAGTCTTCGAGCAGGGTTTTATTGAGCACGTCATGGCAGGTGGTTATGTTGAGCCCCGGCATCTGGGTGGTTTGCTCCTTGAGGAGGAGAGGCACCACCCCGGCGATGGCCATAGCCCAAATGGCCAAACAAGTGAAGGAGGCCCTTCCCAGAGTGCGCCAGGAGAGGGATTGGATGGGGTACACCACAGCCAAAAACCGGTCAATGCTAATGACTGTCATGAGCATGATGGAGGCGTACATGTTACAGTAAAATGCTGCAGTGACGAAGCGACACATCTCGGACCCAAATTTCCAATCAGTGCCGGAGAAGTAGTAGCTGATCTTGAACGGGAGTACTGACACAAACAGCACGTCTGCTGTGGCCAGATGTAACATGTACACCACAGCAGGCTTCTTGATCTTCATCTTCAGGATGAACACGAGGATGGCCATGACATTCAGAGGAAGGCTTACGACGAACACACCAGTGTAGACGGAGGGGATAAAAAGCGTCAGCCAGGCACTGGTCAGATATCCTGAGGCATCTTTTGAGATGGGCAGAGAGGACAGTATTTGAAGAGGATGGCTTCTGTTGATGGAGCTTAATCTGTCTTCAGGGAACCCACTTCCGTTTTTCGCCTCATTGTCTTCTAGTGGGAATGGTTCAAATCTGTCGTTGGTGCTCTTGAAAAAAAATGACCGGATGTCCAAGGTAACATTGGGTGCTTTTGACTCTTAAAAAAAAAAAAAAAAAAAAAAAAGAAAGAAAGGAAAGAAAACAAAGAGAACAAATTAAAAAGGCAAACTAGAGAGTACATTTTATTTTTATTTTTTGTGTTCTTACTAGGAGAGTGGTAAAGAGCAAGTAATGCACAATGGGTTACAGATCGTATCAGGGAATTAGCGGACTCAGAATACTGTACAGCATTTTTTGTTGGCACAAGCAAACACTTAAAACTCTGCTCTTCAGAATGACAGAGGGGGGAAAATAAGGACAGAGGGGAATGATATGTTTTCGGAGATATACCCTGAAGGCATCAGGAAAGGATGAGGGCCTGACATGAAGGAAAACAGCGGTGTTCTTTTCCACACTACCTGCCGTCTCTATAAGCAAATCACTCCCAGGCTCTATGACTTCGTTTTCCTCCACAGGCCTTCGTGTGTGTATTTTCTCCATTTAGTTTGCAGACACCCCTTGAAACCCATGCTTCCCAATGGAAACATCTGCAGGAAGGTGAGGGGACTTCCTCAGTTATGGCGCTAGAGCCAAACTCAGAGTAGGACTGAGGACTCCCATTTCCATGGCCATTGTCCATGTGACAGGAGTTTTCCTCTACTATCTTCAGTTTGTTTACATAGTAGGATGTCCCAAATGTCTCATCACATTTGGACCCAAACCACAGTCCTTCGGGTCATCTTCTAATATAACCACAAGGTGCACACCACCTAGGTCATCTTCCTTCTCCTTCCTGAGCAGGTCTGTGGAGGAGCAGATATTCTGGGCTGATGGCCTTCCTCAGTTGAGTTCCAGAATGCTATCTGCATCAACGCCGATGCTAGGCTAACCAGGCTCTTCTGAGTGTCAACCAGAAGTCAAAATAAAGGCTCAGTTGCAGACTCCCTCCTTTTACCATCATCTTCTACCAAAAGCACCCAATGAAAGTGTTCATCAAAGAATGGCCACCCTGAGCTGCTGGAACTCCACCAGCTGTTCCTTCTGGAGAGCTTCGGCTAAAATTCTGCCATTCAGGAGACATGGACAAAGAGCCTTTGTTGGGCCTTGGGAAGCTGACAACTGGGAAAGAAACCACAGAGGAAGAAGGGCAAAGCCTCCATCACTGAAAGTGGCCTCAACAATGGCTGGACATGCAGGTCCCTGAGAAGTGATGTTAGAGGCTTAAAATCTGGCTACAAATTGATAAATACAGTGAACTGTCAAACTTTTGTTCTCATCTTTCAGTGGTGGACCCTTTGTGCAAACAAACGCTTACAGAGAGAGGCATAATGTAACAGAAGAGATAGTGTCCCACCGGACCCAACCATCCCTTAGATAAAAATTACAAACTCTTGACCTTCTGCCTCCCTCCAGTCAATGACCTGAAGGCATTTAGGTTCATCAGGTAGTACTGGGGAGAGGAGGAATGAATATTGAAAGAAAGGATGGTGTCCAGTGACTTTCTCGTTTTCTTGACTTTCTTGTTTAGCTTGAGGGAAGGCCAAAATCAGTGGCACAGAAGATAGCTAAAACTGAGATAAAAAACCCAGTTTCCGGCCTGAAGAACCAGAGGACAGAGTTCAGGGCCATTCTAGTCACTGGCAAGTGAGGAGAGAATTCTAGAAAGGAAAGAAGTCAGAGAGGGGAGTCCTAAATTCCAATGTGCATTTGCCCTGGCCTGTGGCTGACTCTGGAATCACGTACATGTAAGTGTAAAAAGCAGCCCTGCTGAAGACAGAAGAGCTGAAGTGGCGTTTTTGCTCAAGATGGAGAGTTTGCAGTTTGAGTCCAACCAAATTTATTGCCTGCTACAGCAAAAACACCACAATTCTTCAGAGAAATAAAACAAAATCCTGAGTCTGTAGAATGGCAATGTCCAGGATATAATCCAAAATCATCTGACACAAGAAGAATCAGAGAAATGTGACCCAGTCTTAAGAAAAACGATCATCAGTGGAAACCAATCCCATGATGATCCAGATGTTGGACTTAGCAGATAAGGATTTTAAAGGATGTGTTGCAATGAACTAAAGGGAACTATTTCATTGAAATGAATGAAAAAATAGGAACTATCAGCAAAGAAATCAACCAATGGAAATTCTAGAACTAGAAAATAAAATACCATCAATTGGCATCTATTTCCAAAACAAGGAGCACAGCTAGAGGAGAACAGGGACTGGAGGTGAAAGACTGAGGTGAGGCTACCTCAGCAAGGTCCTAAGTGGGCCCCTGAGGGTGAAGGGGTGGCCTGGCGTGAAGGGGAGATCTGTCACCAGGAAGGACAAATGTCTCCAGGGATGAGCTTCTGAGAAAACATGTATGTCTCGATTATTCCTCAAGGGTAAGAAACCATTCCTATGAATATCTGAATCTCTAGCATCCTGCACATGGTAGTGCTCCTTAAGTTGGCTTTTATTCCCAGATTTGCCTTCTAATATTGGCTCTGTGAGGAATCACTTAACCTTTCCAAACTCAGTCTCAGAATCATAAAAATGGGATTCATATACCTGTCTGGCCTACAAATCTGGAGCCAGGTGCATCCCATGTGAATTAGGACATACAGTAACTTTGTAAACTATAAAAATTAATCAGCGTAAGAAATTAATATCATCCTCCTTTCACTTCAAGAGAAGCTTGCTTTTAGACTCAATTGTTTGCTTACTCTCATTATTTTTAGAGTTTACTTATTTATTTTGAGAGAGTACATGCACGCATGGGGAAGGGAGGGGCAGAGAGAGAGGGAGAGAGAATCCCAAGCAGGATCTGCACTGCCAGCACAGAACCCAATGTGGGGCTCAATCCCACAAACTGTGAGATCAAGACCTATGCCAAAATCATGAGTCAGATGCTTAAGTGAATGAGCCACCCACATGCCCCTACTCTCAATTATTTTAAATTAAAATGGAATCTATGCACCTCTTCCCTACTGTTTAGCAATATTTAATTTTTCAGTGTGATGAGGAACATGAACAGGTTGTAAAGTATATAGCCCCAGCATTCAGAGATGCAAATCAAATTTCAAATTCACAGCCTTTTCCGGAAGTATAACTTTCTTCCCTTTTGTGATGCATCTAACTTAATCTGTGTGCATACTGACCCAGTCACAGGGAGGCCTAACACCAGTAAGAATAGCCCCTGTGGGATGTGAGGCTACCTCGGGGTCATAATGAATAAGTCAGAACTGAAGGAAAAGAATGAATGGGTTCTGGCATTTTAATACCACAAAGATAAGTGTCCTTAAAAATGCTGACCCGGGGTGCTGGGTGGCTCAGTTGGTTAAGCTTCCGATTCTTGGTTTTGGCTCAGGTCATAACCACATAGTTTGTGAATTCAAGCCCCATGTCAGGTTCTGTGCTGCCAGTGCAGAGCCTGTTTGGGATATTCTCTCTCTCTCTCTCTCTCTCTCTCAAAATAAATAAACTTAAAAAAAAAAAAAAGCTGACCCAGAAGAACCTAAAGATAACACAATTTTACTCTGCAGTTTGGAAACCTGGCCTGATTAAGGACTTCTGTCATGCGTGGAGGGAAAAAGTACACACACACAGGCCTGCACAGACAGGTACGAATTCAGACATTACCTAGAGGAATGACATAATTTGAAAACTACTGAGCACTTATAACTAAGCCTCTTAGATACTATCTATTCATCTGAAAATAAAACTGTTGTTGGGTTTTACTCTATGTTTAGTACTCTGGCATTAAGTATTTGCTTTAAAAAAATTTCTTCCCTGGCTAGGTCTTTTTAGGCAGTATGGTGTTTATAACGGAAACATTATACCCACTGAGACATGACATTTTTACAGGCTGGAGCCCAGGAGGAATGCATAATCCCTTGATTAAATATCATTACCTAAGGCATCACCTTTTCTTGCTACTATAGGTTTGATATTTTGGTTTTTCTGGAATTAAAAAATGTCAGGAAAAAAAAATTTTTTTTTTCAACGTTTATTTATTTTTGGGACAGAGAGAGACAGAGCATGAACGGGGGAGGGGCAGAGAGAGAGGGAGACACAGAATCGGAAACAGGCTCCAGGCTCTGAGCCATCAGCCCAGAGCCTGACGCGGGGCTCGAACTCACGGACCGTGAGATCGTGACCTGGCTGAAGTAGGACGCTTAACCGACTGCGCCACCCAGGCGCCCCAAATTTTGATTTAAGTATATACCAGCACCAAAGAAAGAACAAAACCAATTCCAAATAAATAGACATATCCAACTAACTCAAGCCCCTTAGGCTGAAATTCAGTTTGAGTATCTCCCTTTTTCTCCCATCCTGGCACAGCTCACAGGTCAAGGAGAAAGCGCCTGTCAGTGTGCCAAACGCTCTCTCAATTCATCTGTGGTTTTGTTAAGCTATGGTTTCAAACACACAAAAAGCAGCTCAAGTCCTAAAATCAGTTCTCATACTCCTTGCTAAGTTTCACTCAATTTATGTTTCTCTTACATGACCCTAGAGTCATTTTGTGGTTCAATACAGCACACTGCTAAATGCTTAAATATGGACTCTCTAACTGGAGAAAGTCAGGCCATGCTTCATTTATCTTTGATGAGATCTAGCGTGGAAGCAGAGTGGTGACTAGATGCGGTACCGAGGTCCCTTGGGATCCTGGAATTTACACCATGCCAGCCTCCGCTGAAGCACCAGCCTTGGTTCTGACTCAGAGCTCCGGCCTACAGGGCTTTTGCTTTGTAGGAATTAGCAAAGCAGAAGTCTCAGGACCTTGCCCACATTCCCACACAGAGCAGGACAGCTGTACCCTGCACTTCTCCACAAGTGAATCAACACCACAGACTAAAGAGAAGTAGAGAAGAAGTTGATGGAAAATTAACAGAAACATATTAATTCCATCAAATGACAAACAGCAAAATTACTGGAATACTCCACTGCCTCAAATGCAAATACACACCATTTTCCAATATAAAGAACCAGAGCTCCTGAAAGAAATGGCTAGTTCCAGATGTGGGGTGAGAAATACACTAGCTGAATCTCTATTCTTTAAAGAATATTAGGGTCAAAAAAA